CCCGTCGTCCTCGTGCCCTCCATAGCAAAGGTAAGTTTTCTTCAAGTTGGGTTTTCCTTTTGTTTTTGGGTTGGTTTTGAAACATTAATTGATATAGAGGCTTAAGGAAAGTTTAAGGATGATTAAAATTAAGAGATTAGTGATTTATTAGAGATTTAACAAAATGAGTTTTTAAATGATTTGATGAAATATAGACAGTTACTGGAGTTTAAAAGCATATTTGACTTGCCAAAGAAGTAAATAAGATATTTAGAGCCTTAGAAGTGATTAAAAACATGTTTGAAAAGTTGGTGTGATTCGTAGTTTTGAGTGTTCTTTGGAGATTTTAGATGTTATAAGAAGATTTATGGATTTAAGTTAGTTGGGTTAAGTGATGATGAGTTTAATGGTATGGTTAGAGATAAAAGTAAGAGATTTAAGCGAAAGTTTGGTAAAAATCAAAGTGAAATAAGTAAAATATGGGTAAGAGTATCGGTACTGGAAGAATAGTACTGATATTATAGGGTTAAATTTGAGAAAAGAGGATGAACAGTATCGATATTGATGCAAGTAGTATCGATACTGATGTGGAGGTATCGATACCAAGAGGAAGGCATCGATACTGTAATTGGAAAATGGATTCCAGAATGAAAAAATGGTATCGATATGAAATAGGAGTATCGGTACCATAGTAGAGAAGTATCGATACTAGAGGAGGGCTACCGATACTATTCAGACTGAAATTTTAAGTTAGGGTGAATTTTAATAGAATTCGAAAATAATAGTACTTTTAAGTATTATTATTTTGTATAAACGTTAGACAATATATTAACATTTGTAATGTATGTGTGATTATGGATGCTTGTGTAGATCGTAACCAAATTCTTGAGTCAAGCAAGCAAAAAAGGCAAGGATAAAGTAGCATATTATTCGGTCTACAATTAAGGCATAATAGTGAGGCATATCAGGTGAGTGCATTTTATGTACTTATATGAGATGAGGATGACTTGCGATGAGTTAACCTCGAATGTTTTGATAAAAGTATGTTTTACAATATTTCGATATATTTGTATAATGTTTATGGAAATTATATTACGAATAATTTTAGAGTATGAATTGCTCTAAAATGAATAGATGAACTTTTATGTTGTTTTAATGGTTATCGATGTTTCAGAAATAAATGTTTAATTTGTGAATTGGGCTTAAAAGCCCATTGTATGTGCATTGAGAGTCATAGGTGCATTTCAACATAAATTGTATATGGTGGTTTTCGATCGATTTTGTGTAATGCATAATGTTGCATTTTCGTATCAGTATTATGTGTACTTTCTTCGTATCAGTATTATGTGTACTTTCGGCACTAGATATGCAACCATGGTATTCATAATGAGTTTGTGAATTACCATTTCGTCATACAATTGTATATAAAAGTTATCGATCAATTTTGTTTAATGCATATGTTGCATTTTCGTATCAGTATTATATGTACTTTCGGCACTATGTGTGCATCCATGGAATTCATAATGAGTTTGTGAATTACCATTTCGGCACTTAGGTACAACGCATGTACCTTGCATTCTCATTTGACATACATTGGGCAAATAAATGATAATTTGGAAAAATACTGATTGATAGTTAAACTAGGCATACTAAATATTGTTTCGCAGGTTATGTGAATGAAACTTGGTTTGCCAAGCCAGTTTATGTATTAATATGATTTATACAATTTAAATTCATATTTTGATAGTTTATGATACACTTATACTTAAGTTACACCTCATTTGTATTATTATGCCTCACTAAGTAAATACTTAGCGTGTGTTGATTTCACGCGTAGGTATTAGTACAAGCAGAGTAAGGAGTGCAACTGACAATGTCAATCAAGGGTTGCCTCGTCAGTAACTGTATGACAACTATGTCTACTTTTGATATTATTATATGACATGTAATAGACTTATGATAAGGCTCTGTAAAGTATTTGACTTATGATGATTGTAATATTTAATATGATAGAATTTTAAGACTATTTACATATTAAAAATTAATGAACATTTTATTAATATTACATTAAAAAAAATTATGTATATAAACAAAATTTTACTGGTTTTCAAAAGAGAAAGTGTTTTATAGGTCATGTGACTTGTGTACAGAAACGTATACGAGAAATGGGTGTTACAATAATAATGATAAGAATAATAAATAAATAAATAAATAAATAAAAACTCGAACAAAACGGGTGTCTACAGTATGGTTTGGAAAAAATTGAAAGTTTAGTACTAAAACGGATCAAAGTTAATAGTTTAGGTACTAAACTAAATACGTAGTTTACCATGAATTTAGGGTAAATTACAAATTTGGTAACTAAACTTTACTCTATCTCCTATTTCACTCATTGTACTTTAAACTTTTTCAATTTCCTCATTGAACTTAATACATTGGATTTTTTTAGTCATCCGTCCGTTAAATAGTTAACGACGTTAAAATGGATAGTTATATAGATTCAAAACGACATCGTTTTGGTGAAAATTTTATCTTTTTAAAATAAAATCATTTTTATACCGTTAATTATTTAACGAAGAAGTGACCAAAATAAGACAAAGTAAAGTTCAATGATAAAAAAACCCAATGTATCAAATTCAGTGAAGAAATTAAAAACTTTTAAAGTTCAGTTAATAAAATAGGAGAGAGAGTAAAGATCAATGATGAAATTTGTAGTTTACCCCTAAATTTAAGCGAAAATAACAGTTATCACATGATATGTCATTTGGAGTAACATGTATTCGTGATTCTACACGGAACCAAAAGAAATGACGCCGCCGCCGCCGCCACTATTTGATATGCTTGCTCCAATATATTATTAATCACATATTAGCTAAAATGATAATTCACTTTGCAACTTAATTACTGATCAACATAATTATATGTATTTATAGTTTATATAATTATATTAGAATCCAATACCAATCTACGTATCATCCAATATGCTTCGACTTTAACAAGTTACGATAAAAAATTCTTAAGAACAAATAGCCCCTTCTTTACTGATATGAATAAACTAATTTCTAAGAGAAATATTAAATTTTGAATGAAATGTGCCTCACATACTCATTGATGTAAACTGAACCATAAGCCATGAAAAATATACCAGTATTCTTTCATATGCTAATGGCACGAATCAAACGATCTCGGTGGTAAATGAATTTTTATTATTTCTTGATGTTCCAAGTTTAAGCATCATGAATGTTAGGAATGTGAGCGGTCAATGTCAAAAGATTAAGAATTATCTTCAAACAAATACGGTCTTGTACTTACCCAGATAAATGAGGTTACCATTTGGCATACAATTTGCATGCACAATAGGACCATTTTTTCTGCACTCTAATCTCTAATCTCTAGCATGAATTAACTTACCTCAGTGATTAAATGAATCGTTGTTGTTCTTAGAGGTCACGGATTCGAACAACAACAACTACAACAATGTGATTGAACAATCATTGTTAAATAGTTTACTATGTAACTACCTTAACTTAATCCAAAATAATAATAATAATCTCCAGTCCCTACCTCGCCATCCTTTGATGTGATATTCGGGTACACAGCTCCATTAAACATCCATTGGCTGAAGGCTCACAACATAACAGCCAGCCATACTGATTTTCATCAGCGGGAACCATAAGCTCAGCCTCTTATGTTGCCTTTTCCAACTGGTTCGCAGAACCAGAAAATTCAAATATCCAATTATCTGATCTTGCACATCATCCCCTCAATGCCCTATCCAACCCGTCTTTCTCATGGTATGCCACTCCAAGTATCTAGCAACCAAATAAATATTGATTCGATAGTGACTCATGTCCAATTTGATATGGGCCGAAACTACTCAAATCGGAAGTAACCATGGTTTTGCTCTCGGTATTTCACTTCTAAATGAAGAATCAAATGGAAGGAGATATTTTGACAACATTTGTTCCCACAATTTATTTGCATTCGACACTTATGTACATCATATATTTAGATATAAAAATGCATTGCCTTAAGTTAGAATTACATAGCTTTCTAATAATACCTTGACGAACAAGAAATTTTCTGAAAATTCATGGTATAAAGGAAGAGCCCAGGCTAAAACCAATTAATGAAACAAGCCATAGGCCTTGTAAATTATAACCAGACCATGACTCCTTAAATTCCTAACAAGATATCTGCCAATGCAAAGCAAAATTGTAGTAATTGCCACTGTTGCCGGAGATCCTCCGTCATCGGTTCACCCTCTTGACCCTGTTTACTGCAGCTCGGCACAACCTGCATCTAAAGGAAATACGCTACGAGGATTTTAACACAAATAATATACTACTAAACAAATACCATGATATAGCATCAAATGAAGCACTCGATTCAACACACCAATTCCCCCCAAGCACAGTAATAAAATGAAGATGAGTATAAGATATGTTCTCAACACAAGTATCAGATCCTGAATGCTAATATCTAAATATGTACAAGATAAATATGTTGAACCAGGTACTTTAAGAAACTTGAAAACTCTTAGATAACTCTAGTGAATTCTATACCTAATTGTTCAACTATCTTCGGATTAGAATCGAAGACATCTATCTAACAGCATTCATTTGTTACAATGAGTTGCAACTTGCAAAAAACATGCATGCTAACAGATGAAGTCAATCAAATCTAAAGTCATGCAGTGACCGGTTAAGTATGCAACAGGAGAGAAAACAACAATTAATGTCTCTCTCACCAGATAATCGCATGCCAGTCCTGCCAAACAAGGGACAAAGATTATGCCACCAAGCTGAATGGATGTAAAGTCCTCCAACTCAACCTGCAAAATTTTCGTAACTCAAAACACACCAGTAAAGTGTAAAACCTGCAATTTCAAGTGTAACCCATCATATTGAGCAGCAACATAAAACACTATTCATAAGAGTTAGCTTATAATTGAAATTAACAAGTTTCCTTTTAAAAATTCAAAACAAATAGAAAGGAAAAGAATATGAAAAAATTGTATTAGAGAAAAAAATGGCATTCAATTAGTACGTTCATAAATCAATCGTCCAATCAACCATTCATCCTAGTAAATAAAGATAACTATGATCCAAAAGGGCATCATTGTCTGCCAAGGCAAATGAACCCTTACGGATCTGTCTTCTTAGACCTATTAGCTTCTAGCTGGCCAACTTGATCCTGAGTGTTGGGATTATCAGAAGGAAATTCCTCAGCTGGCCATTTATCAGTGCCTGAATCTTCTGCTGCTTGCAAAAACCCGAGATCCCATACATCAGATAACCCACCAGTTACTCCCAAATCCATAAGGTCATAGGTGTTGAGATTACCCCATAACTCATTGCTAGAACTAGGCATACCAGCAGTACCATCAAAATCCATGCTCCATACATCTTGTTTTGAAACACTTTCACTAATAGATGAGAACTCTGGGGTGGTTTTCTGCTTCACTAAATCCTCAGGGGAAGATATAAAATACCCTGGATTAGTCACTTGTTCTGAGCCTAGTACATTCTTCCCATTCAGATCTTTGATTTCCATGCCTGAAGTGCCTTCTACCAGCTCTGAGGTTCCGAGAAATCCATGTGCAGTCGCCAGCTCATCAGATTCAACTACATCATCATCAACTCGAAATGGAAAGCCTTCTGCACCTAAATCACTTCCAGCTACACCCTTGGGTAGATAATCTGGAGACTCTTCAACAGAAATCGGGTTTACATCTGGGGATGAAGAGGAGATAAAAACGTTTCTCCAATCAGGACTATTGTACTTCACAATCTGCCCTTCCGCAGGTGTTTCTGAATCAATCAGTTCAACTGACCGATGCTTGACAAACTTCCTCCACATCCTTGGGGAACTAATTTCTCCCTGTTCCTTATTTTGTCTAAGGCGTGCTAAGAAAGCCGGATTCTGGAATAACTTGGCTAAGAATGAAACCATTTGCTTCTGCCTTTGTTCTGCTGATTGAAGCCTCTTGTTCACCACCTCAACATGGCGAGCTGTACACTGTTGCTCTTGCTGCAGCTCCATTACTTCCTGCATTAACATGCTCTTTTCTTCCCTCAGCCTTTCTATTTCACCTTCCGCTCTGGACCTTCCCACATCATTATAAGGTCTGAGATCACTACCAACCTGTTGTGATTGAGGTGACTTACGCCTCTGAATGTTCTTCAAAAGATGTCTCTTCCCTCGCTGAAAAGCTTCATTAGCAAATTCCCACTTATCCGTATCGATTTTGCGAAATCCCTGAAAACAATACACAAAGATAATTCAAAATGGGGGAAACAGCATTGTTCGGAAAAAAAAGGAAAAGAAAAGGGAAACATCAAAAGGTATAATTCACATAGGCTTGTTCAGAAGGATCCAGGTAGATCATCTTCATAACATCAGCTTTCTTCAAAAAGGAAAATTTAAGAAATAAACACATCATCTTTACAGAAGCTCAAAGGAACAAAACACGAACAACTCAACGCTACAATTAATCTGTAAAACAAAACCAGAACCCAAGTTTCTACCTGCTTGAGGATGAACTCCCAATCCAGCAGAGTTTCAGCAAATGAAGCTGACCACGAAGACGCTTAACCAAACTTCTAAATAATATCCACATAATACAATTTACTTGTCTAAAATACATCCAAGTTTACAGAAGAACCTTACATTCGATTAGAATACAAATAAACACATCATCTTTACAGAAGCTCAAAGGAACAAAACACGAACAACTCAACGCTACTAATCTGTAAAACAAAACCATAAGAATTAAGTCTCAATTAACCCCTTTTTCCGATTACAATGTTTCTGTACAACAGTTGGATAATTTACAATGTTACAAATGAAGGGTACAACTCGGGCTTCTGAAATTACAGATTCCAGTTTACAGATTAAGCCTTTTAAAAAATACAGAAAAAAAAATCAAAATACAAACAACAAAAACAAACAAACAAGCAAGCAAGCAAAGAAAGTGAAACAAAATTTACAAAACAAAATGCCATCAGCGATTTTTTTTGTTTGGGTTTTAAGAAGGCCGTGTTATTGCAATAATACCCACGTAAGTATTGAGCTGACGAACAAAGCTGGAGAAATTATTGTGCTTGAAATTCCGAGGGAGTATGAGCCTAGAAAATTCCAGAGGGTCCCAGACCACGAAGCTCTCTCCGGTCGGACCCCAAGAGATTATCGGATCCAACGACGCGTCGTCCACCAAATCAAACGTCTTCGACAAAAAAGGCGGCACGGGGTTCCCCTGAAGAACTTCCAAGGGCTGAGGCACGCCGATCAACTCCGTCCCGCCCGTTGCCGATGAAAACGTTTCCAGTTCCATAAAAGGGGAAGGAAGGGGAGGGTGTTTTTCTTCATCTGAGTTCATTTCGTTTTCTTTTTTGAGTTTAAGGTTGGATTAAAGTGGGGAAGTGGGGTTTTTAAAGGGTTTAAGCCGACAAACTGTGGGCACAGAAAAAAAAAATCTTGAGAGTCGGCCATGGTAAAGCTGAGATTGTTATGCAACCGCTGCCATATAAAAGAACACCGACCCAAGTTTTGGGTTGTTTCCAGGAAATGAGATATCAGAATCTTTGTGGTGGGGAAGATATTTTTGGTCTATGGGTCAAAATTCTTAAGGACGAAGCTAAATCCAAGCGGCCAATCAAATGAGAGCGTTCTTAGTTTGGCCAATCAAATGAGAGCGTTTTTAGTTTGGCCAATGAAATGAGGCCAATTTCCACGAGTCTCCGTTTTAGACTTCGTATGTTTCTTTCAAGGATAAATTACATAAATACCAATAAACTTTCTTTTCTCTCTTATTTTGATCACTATACTTTGAAGTTTTGAATTTCTCACTAAACTTTGAATCGTATCTTTTTGGTCACTCTTTTTTTATCACTCTAACATTATGATCACATGTCATTTTTTAGTTAATTTTGAGTTACCACATAAACTCTTATTATATGTATTATGTTGTTTATCAATCCAAAACAACCATTTTTGTTTGAACCTAAAGCAACGTCAAAGTAAATCTCTAATCCCACAACCATCATCTCTAAATTAAGACCAATTCAACTAAACTTCATCATCACCAGATATCGTTTCATTCATCTCACTCTTTCAGTCACCTTCAATTTGTCGTTATCGAATCTCTCAATCTCATGAGAATCATTTTAATTTCTCAAGAATCTTTCATTATCAGACCAAATATAATCCCTAATTTTATCCCGTCACCTTTAGTCATTGTAAAACTCAATACCCACTAAGCTAATACCTATTTCCAAAACTAAAATTCAACCTGAATCTTGAACCAAACATAATATTATAGCCATCATTAATAGTAAAAAAAGTAAAAATAAATAAATAAATAAATAAATAAAGATTAAGAGATAATTCACCTACTAACCATCGAAGTACTTATGGTAAAAGAAAACTAAATCACATAATCAAAGTAAGGAAGAAAGAAATTTTTTTAAAAAGTGTCGTGTGTCAGATTTTAAAACATTTTTTTAATGAAAAATTCGTTAGATTCGTACTCATAAGATGGAAAAGAGTCTAAAAATTTGAGGTTGAACGGTTACCATCAAAGATGGTAGATGATGAATGACATGAAAATGTAGTGGTCGACAGTGGCCATTAGACATAATACGAGTAAATAGAGAGAAACTGAGGGGAATAAAAATGAGAGCAAAAAGGGATTTTATGGTTAAAATGTGGCTAAAGTATCTCCGATGGTACGCTGAGGTTAACGTAAATTATGATGTGTCGCTCGATGTTTGTCTCTTGAGCCTCCTGTTGTACCAATGTCTATATTATGTTTTAGGAAGAAGGTAATGATCTTTTGGTATGGAGTTTTGTTTTGTTGTTTCGACAGGCTGAGAGCAATACCTGCTCCCTTGTGTCTGAGGTAGTTGGCGTGACATTCGAAGTAGGTGAGTGTGAGGCATTTTAATTCGAATGGCTTTGGTATATGGAGATTTAAAACAATATTGTTTTAGTGTAGATTTGATGTTTGTAAAATATTATTTTGATGTTTGTATCTTGTTATAACACTGTTAAATAATTAGCGAAAAAGTGACCAACCTACAAAAAAAAAAAACCACTGTGTTCTATTTTTTTGGTAATCTCGTTCAGCGGTTATTATGCTATATGATAACTAAAATATAAATAAAAAGTAACGTGATTAATTTTATCATTACCAATCAAACGAAAAAATCAATAAAGTATCGACTTAAAAATGCTGACCTAAAATGTTATATATTTTGATCTATTTTCGGTTGTAACTTAATATGTTATCTTGAGTTTTAAAATTGATTCAAATTTAATATTAAGGGTATCATTTTAGGCTGCAGTCGATTATTCCTTTTACAATTTGAAGTGATCAAAAAGACTTTCTTCACAGGAATTTGATGTACTTTGCTTCACATTTGGAATACAATTTAAGCTGTGCTGATGATTAGTTATACAAGTGGGAGTAGCAGATATGAAATCAGCAATTTAATATCAGTGATGAGGATGCAGATCCCAACTCCTGTCTGCAGTGATTGGCTTTATTATGTTCCAATCTCGTCCCAATCCATGGATCCGTCTTCAAACCCCAACTCTAATTGTTGAAGCCTGTTATGTTGACCTAACCTGCTCATTGCAGCAAGAGCTGAAACAAGAACCAATTCGTGATATGATGAACAATGATGATCAAATAAAACAAAGCTTCATTCCAATATGTAATAGGATTTCTTTCTTTCTTTCTTTCTTTCAGTTGGGTTCTTTTTACTACAACTACTAACATCTGTAATGCTACAAGTGTCGTTGGCTTCGTTATGTTATGTATGTAAAGTTCCTTGTAATGCCTCGGGTCATCCGATGACCAAGTAAACTAATCATGACCGGAAACAACCTTATCAAAGAAGGCATGCATCACCACGATACGGAAGCTTATGTTGATCTTGATGATATGTATACATTTTTCGGGGTAGTTTACTCGTTTATGAGAGCACTATATTTGTACCTTCAATTATTCTGTAAAGAGCAGGCCACCATCTATCTCTGGGAACTTGGTGCTGCTGAAGCATATCATCTATAACTTCATCATTTCTTTCCCTCCAAAAACACCCTGCAGAGTTATAACTGCATCTTCGGTTTTCTCGAGGATATTGCCTGTATCTCCAACATCAAACCTTTGGAGATCATTCAGTGATGAAGTGAGGCTAACAGCTATGGCAAATTGTGCAGCAGCAGCCCAGCGGGATGACGCCTGCCATCTCATCCGACCATCTAACCGTGTGGCATGTTCTCCACTCAACCTGTTCTCCTCACCTCCAAAAACTGAGCTACGTAAGTATTCAGCATTTGCAGGCCCTGTGCTTTGAACCATTCTAGAGAATGCACTTTCTTCATTAGCTAGCAGTTCCTCTGGAGTATTGTGCTCTGAACCTGAGAGAATCAGAAGTTACTAGTCATCACTAATGTGTATCCTCGTTTTCCCAATCAGAAGATGACTTATTCATCGCATAGAAAAAGTCAACGTACATTAAGCTAGAATTTGCTAAGCAATTCCTGGAGAATAGTCGATCTCACTTAAGGATATACTAAAACTACAAAATGTCTACTAAACGGGATAGAAATTGCAGAAAGAACAAGAACCAGAATTATATAACAATAACAATGAGCAAGAAGGCACACCTGACCAGCATCAAGCACAAGAATCTGGTCGCAGTCTATGATGGTATTTAGTCTGTGAGCAATAATCAGCATCGTGCAAGTTTTGAATTCTTCGCGAATGGTTTTCTGGATCAGGGTTTCAAAAAACGGACCACGACCGCGATTTCGTCCGCGATATAGTGGTTTCGCCACCGTCCGAGTTACCCGCTACACCCGCAATAATTGATTGCGAGATACCTCAACAAACCTACACCACAATAATTGTTTTGGCAGATGTAATCAACAAAACTAGCTTTCTAGATCAATATTACCTTAGGGATAGCTCAAAAGAGCTACTCATATCAGAATATTAATTTGGCAGTCCTAATCACCCCTAGTTTTCTAGATTAACAATTAGGCGCTGTTTCCTTTTTCTATTTTGATATTACGTTTTATTTTAGTACCTCAGCATCCAGGCCAAAAGCGTTCCTCCTGATTACATCCTTCAGATGAGCCCTTTCCAAAGCCTCCCAAAGGTCGGCATCATTGTGTTCATTGAAGGGATCAAGGTTTAATCGGACAGTTCCTGAATAAATTAAAAAATGAGAAATTTCAATCTTAGGAGATATCATATTAGAAAATATCGAGGAAGTAAACAAACATTTTAAATTCTAAGTCTTGAATGTTTCTCCCTACCTTAGGAGAGCTTATCAAGGTATATAAAAGGTCATAGATGATCAAAAAAGAGAGATTACAAGGAAAAGGAAAAAAAAGGCATCAATTCATAGTTTGATTGCTATATGTGGGAATACGACTTGCAAGTTGCAAAAGACGGAACCCTTGCCTGCAAAACTAAGGTGTTTACCATTCCTTGTTTCCAAATTGTGAATTAAGGACTTTTATATAGGAAAAAGATCCGTAAAGTTAAATATCTTCAATTTAACTCTTAAGAGTTCAAGGCAAGCTAGAAATAGATGCATTAATCAAGCCTAAAGTTAATACTGGTATTGTGATCATATTCTGTAGTAGCTTATGTGATTGTTTCCTCATCCTCAAAGACGGAAAATTGAATTAGCTACAGCTTCAAGGTATAAGAACATTAACAAATATACGACTGGTAGTTTGGTCTTTCTATAGCTCTATGTCACGGGGGTGTTTCTCTTGGATTGTTGATTCAGGGGTGAGTGATCATATGACAGGAAACTTCCGTCTTTTTTCAACGTTTCACAAAAACAGTATCTCATGCATTGCTGATGGCTCCATCTCATCGGTTGAGGGAAGAGGCTCAATTCGCCTTAATCACTGCATTCATCTATCCAATGTTCTCTACGTTCCGAGTTTGACTTGTAATCTTCTTTCGATTAGCAAATTATCTACCGATTTGGGTTGTAATTCTCATTTTACTCCTGATTGTTGTGAATTTCAGAATTTGACCTCGGGGATGGTGATTGACAATGTTAGGCGTCGTGGTGGACTCTACATCCTTGAAGCTCCTCCTGCTCTCGTTCCAAACCGCTCACCTTCACCATTTATCTCTTCCTTTGTTTAAGTTTCTCTACAGATGCGGCTGCCGAATTTGTGTTATGACATTTTAGGTTAGGTCACCCAAGTTTTACTTATCTTGCAAAATTGTTTCCCCAATTATTTATTAATAAAAATTCCGCATCATTTTCTTGTGACATATGTTCTCTTGCAAAGCACATTCGCAACTCTTATCCTCCTCCTTCTCGCTCGCCTAAACCTTTTTTCTTAATTCACAGTGACATTTGGGGACCTTTATGGTTTACGGGTTTACATGAAATTTGTCGGTTTATTACTTTTATTGACGATCACTCTCGTACCACTTGACCTTTATTATGAAAGATAAGTCTGAGTCTTCTACTATTTTCAAACGCTTCCACAAAATAGTTGAAACACAGTTCCAAAGTTCCATTGATATCCTTAAATCTGATAATGGTGGGGAATACCTCTCTCGTTCGTTGGGATCTTTCTTCCAGGAAAATGGAATAGTTCACCTCACTTCCTATGTTGATACTCCACAACAAAATAGGGTCGTTGAACGTAAAAATCGTCATCTTCTTGAGGTAACCCGAGCACTCTTTTTTCTTTTAATGTTCCGAAATACCTTTGGGGTGAGGCTCTCTTAACATCTACTTTTCTCATCAACTGTCTGCCTAGTAAGATTCTTGCCTTTAAGTGAACCCGGGATATCCTTTCTGCCAAATTCCCTCATTTCAAACCTTTTACCTCTTCGTGTCTTTGGTTGTACTTCCTTTGTCCATGACCACAATCCTCATAAATCTAAACTTGATCCTCGAAGCAATTCGGTGTGTCTTTGTTGGTTATCCCTCTCTTCATACTGAAACAACTACCACTCCACTACCTCTTAATACCACCACATCTGATAATGAAAATCAATCCATTAATCTCATCGACTATCATTAAACAAGCAGGCCATCTACCAATATTATCACTTACAAAAAGATGACCTAAATAAGCCCTACCTTCCACACCGCAGCCAATGCATTGTTAAGAGCCAGAACCCTGCTTAAATCCCTCGATAGACAGAGGAGATGGTGACCAAAGTAAGTTGGATGTGGTGATTGATACTAGCGAGCTACCAATTGCTCAAAGAAAGGGAGTTAGACGATGTACAACTCATCCTATTAGTAAATTTGTTGCTTATGGTAAACTAATGTCTGTTTTTAAGACTTTCACAGCTCAGGTTGATCATATTCACATTCTAAAGACCATAAAGGATGCATTAAAAAGTCCTGAGTGGAAGAAGGAAGTTGAAGAAGAATTTTCAGCTTTAGAAAACAACAAAATCTGGGTCATCGTTGATTTACCTAAAGACAACAAACCAATCGGCTACAAATGGGTTTTTTGCTGTGAAATTCAAGGCAGATGAAAAAATTGAGAGATATAAGGCTAGACTATTAGTAAATTTGTTGTTTATGGTAAACTAATGCCTGTTTTTAAGACTTTCACAGCTCAGGTTGATCATATTAACATTCCAAAGACCATAGAGGATACATTAAAAAGTCCTAAGTGGAAGAAGGCAGTTGAAGAAAAAATTTCAAAACCTGGGTCATTGTTGTGAAATTCAAAGCAGATGGAAAAATTGAGAGATATAAGGCTAGACTGTAGCAAAAGGGTTCACTCAGACTCATGGAGTTAACTATCATGAGACCTTTGTTCTAGTTGCAAAAACTCAACATTGTTCGAGTTCTATTATCCTTGGCGGTGAACAAGGATTGTATACTTCACCAACTAGTCGTAAAAAATGCATTCCTCAGTGGCAATCTTGAAGAAAAGGTCTATATGCAAATTCCACCATGAATCCATTCTAGAAATAATCGGGTATGTAAATTGTTGAAATCCTTATATGGTATAAAACAATCACCTCAAGCTTGGTTTGACAGATTCACGAAGGTTATGTTACAAGACAACTACAAACAGTGTCAATCCGATCACACTCTGTTTGTAAAAACTACTCCTGATAAGAAGAAGTCAATATTGATTGTCTACGTTGATGATATCATCATCACGGGTGATGACTTGGTAGAAATCGAAAATTTGAAGAAATTACTAGCAAAGGAGTTTGAAACCAAAGATTTAGGAATTTTGAGATATTTCCTAGGCATGGAGGTAGCGAGATCACGAGAAAGGTTTGTCATAAATCAAAGAAAATACATTCTAGACTTACTTTCTGAAACTAGAATGACTAAAGCCCTCAGAAACTCCTATGGAAGTTAACCTGAAATTGAGTAAAGATGGAAACCCGATAAACAAGGAACAATACTAAAGGCTAGTTGGTAAACTCATTTATCTATCTCTAACTATACCTGACATTGCTTTTCCCGTTAGCATTGTTAGTCTACACATGAATGATCCTAGAGAAGAACATTTGGAGGCAGTTAATCGAATCTTAAGATATCTAAAGATGAAACCAGGACATGGGTTGATTTTCAGAAAATATGAAGACAGAACAATTAAAATCTTCTCATATTCAAGATGGGCTGGAGAAATAATAGATAGAAGGCCAACCACGGGATATTGTTCATTTGTGTGGGGAAACCTAGTGAAATGGAGAAGCAAGAAACAATCAGTAGTCTCCATGAGGTAGTGCAGAAACATAATATAGGGCGATAGCACTCGGGATGTGTGAAGGAATTTGGCTACAAAGACTTTAACTAAACTAGAGATGTGCAACAACAACTACTTTGAGCTTCAGAGTGATAGCAAATCTGCGATAAGCATTGCAAAGAATCCGGTGCATCACGACAGAACAAAACATGTAGAGATTGACAGACACTTCATTGAAGAAAAAGTAAATGGAGGAATTGTGAAACTAAACTACGTCTCCTCACAAAACCAGCTAGCATATATATTAACCAAGGCACTTCCAAGGATTACCTTCGACGAAATCACATACCGGCTTGAGGGGGAGTGCGAGTAGTGTTTTAGTCAAACTCTGTTTCCTAACTTATCTCTAACACTATCTCCTAATTTATAGAAAAGATGACTCATATCTTATCTAGTTCTCTAATTCATGTATATAAAACTCCTATGGATCCTCTTGTAATATATGAATTTGTTTTCGAATAAAGATTACTGCCTTCATCAGAAAACTCTAGTTTACAATACAAGAGGTAAATTGTTTTGTTAGGCCTTCATTGGGAAATAGGGGGAAACACATTTAAGAGATGGTTTAACAACATAGGCCCCGCAAACTGACAAAGGTCTTGTCCAATCTGTGATATTCAAATAGGAATCTATAAGTCAGCATTCAAAAGTTCATTTCAAATGCTTTACACAACTTAGTCATATTTCCATGGAATATTAAAGCTCTGTATAGAAAACTCGACACTTTATCTATAGAAAATGTGTGTGTATATATTGATAGGTATGACTCATAAATATACCAGTAAAGAGGACAAGGGATGGAGCGGAGTGAGCGAAGCGAACATCAACTGTCCTTACAAAGAAAGTCTCGTAGAGAGGGGGTTATGATTATGTGGGTTGGTGGTGCGGGGTGCAACCCCCCGCGGTACGGTAAAAGGTTAATTATGTAATTATGTACCAGGTTTTTTATTATAAATAGAGATGTAACCTAAACCTATGAGACATTGAATAAAACTTCTAGCGCCGCCTAGGCACCGAGGAC